TGGGATCAGTAAAGAGAAAGACTGACAGTGAGTGTGAAATCCTGTTTTCTCTTCAGAACACACTTCATTGAAAATAGAATGTAGAAAGAAGACGTAGACGGCATAATCCTCACTGAAAGAGTGCAGAAAAACAAAAATGGCAGAATTCCATGAGATTGTCTGCATAAATTGGCAAGGTATGCAGTAATAACAGCAATGATTTTTGCAAAAAAAAAGCATGCGTGATTGCTTGGAGGTCATCAGCGCTGTTTGATGGGTATGAGCTCTGCTCACATTCAATGGGCATCCTAGTCTTCAGAAGGCTTTTTCATTTATTAAACCATCACTGCTAGAGGCATTCTGTTGGCATGCAAGATGCATGCCACTGTGTTCAGGAAAGGAGGGAATGAACACACACACACAGAGCTCCAGCTGGGTATGATTGAATAACCTATTAAATGTGGGCAGTGACCTCTTAAGCCAGAACAGTGCTCTTAATGTTTCATTAATCTCACAGCTACTTTTAAAACAATGATTTACTTTAATTTGTCTGCCTCTGGCTTGTTGCACTCCAGTCATACATAGCCATCGGGTTAAAGAGAGTATTCATTTGCAGTTTAATTTATTGGTTTACTCTATGTATTGTTTCCCCACCCATAAATTAAATCTATTAAAACAAATGTCAAACACATTAGCAGCTGCTAAAGTTATGTCACTGCAGGAGGCTTGAGGATAGAAACAGATGAGAGAGCATAGAGTGAAGAGGAAACTGGAGATGATTAACCTTAACCTGCCTATGGGCAATCTACAGTGAAGGGCTACTGGAGCTAAGAATAAAAGCACGAAGAGATTATTTGTGAAATGTAGAAGGGTGAGAATACCAAAACTCTCACTGAGACTGCTGGTGTGTACTTGCATTTGACAAGAAGCTCATTTCTTTCATACGTATTAGATAATTAATGAGGGCTCTATGGTGGAAACAAAATAAAGAAACATTTCCGGCTGATGAATCCGACGGTATGTTAGGATATGTCACTCTCCTTCTGTGTGCTCTGAGTTCAGAGGAAAAATATAATGTATTCTGAAATCAAGAGCAAGAGAACATGTTACATATTTTCCTTTAAAGACGGCAGGATGTATTTACACCAATCAACTATGAATTGGCTATTTCAGTTATCAGGATAACACATATTGAACTTTTGCTATGTATATAAACATATAGTAAAAAAAACATCATTATCTATTGTTGTGTTTTTACTCAACACACTTAAAGGACTTTCTGGCAGAGGGTTAGAGCAAAGACTGGAAACAGTGCGAAACAGCTAGTTGAAGCTAAAATGGAAAATTGTTGTTTTTATTCGGTTTTTGTACAGATTAAACAAACACGATATGATGCATTAATCAGTGAGCTCTAGAGTCTAGAGGTGCTGTTAGAGATGTTGTCACCAGGCAAGCTGTTTCCAGTATTTATGCTAAACTAAACTAACTGGGCAATATTACTGTGACTAGAAAATATTGCATATGAAAAGACATAAATAAATTCATTCTTTTTTTCGTAAATTAACAGTATAAATCCCAACTGTTATTTCCTATTGCAACAAAATAGTGTGATCAAAATTATCAGATTTGGTGACTAGAATTTGACTGATTTGAACAAATAACGACGTCTAGCAGCAAGAACGCTCAGGAGAAACACCAAATGATGAGGAACAAAGGCAGTTGCACGGTAACCTTGGATATGGGTCACTGTGCAGCTGCTGCCCTCCATCAACGGCCTGCATGACGCCAATGAAATGAATCAGGCAGGTAAGAGACATCCGTTCCAGCTGACCCCATGCAGCTCGGCAGCAACCTGTCCCATTAACTTTCACCACGAAAACCGAGGTTGGTACTTGAAAATCAGCACCAACCACCATCTCGACAGATTTCTAATCGGGCTACTTTCACACAACTGAGCGATTTTCCCCAGGTGATTGGCCAACACTTCACCGTGGCCTTTAAACACTTTTTTGTGGAAAAGGATTATTTTATGCTAAATGTCAGGATTTATATAGTATTTCTTTAACATCAGACTTGCCCTTAAAGGCACGTTAGTTCTCTTGTTACCATTCTGTCTGAGATGAGATCATGTGGGAGCTCAAGCATTTGACACATTTTATTTTCCTTCACAATTTTCACAATAGCAATCACAAAGATAGATGGCCTAATGTGTGCCTGAAATCGTAGTCACAGTGATATTCAGCTCGCACAGCCCTGCTGCTTAGTACATGCACACTCCCGGACGATTACAGATCTCCTTTTACAGATCAGATGTGTTGCAGCATCATGGGTCTGTGTATTCCTCAGTGGTTTCCTGAACCGGGTTGGGTGGGTGGGGGGGGGGGGGGGGGGGG